TTATTTTTATTGAAAAGAGATAGCTGTTAAATCATAAATAATATTATAAGAGAAACTATCTTACTCCTTTAATTCTTTGTTATTGAATTTAATTAATTTTAATTTAATATTTTAAGTTCATGCTATATTATAATTAAAAAAAATTTGTACACATTTTAATTTAATACAATTTTCAACATTTGTTAAGTTCAGCTTTTAAAATATGATATATATATAGTTGATTTAGTCAATTCTTATATATTGTATATATAAATGTATTTTTACATTTATTTATATTTAATTTTAGGTTAAAAATAATAATATTTTAATAAATATGTCGTGTTATGTATGTTAATCCAAATAAGCTCAATAACTAATTAACATGTATATATCAATTCATACTAGATAAAATTAAATGTGCAACACTGACCAAATCAGATACTTTATAATCCTGGAAATTAACGAGAACATTTAAAATTCCTAATAAGTAATGAAATTGTCAAATTGGCCAAATACATACATACATATATATATATATATATATATATTGTAAAAGGCAGGGCATGGCATGGCAGGGTCAAGCACCGGGACTAGGAGAAACCAAACTCTCTACATATGGAATCAGATTTATCTTTGAGATTGTAAAGAAATAATTCTCCAACTTCCTCAATCTCAAGCTCATCGCGTGTCCTTTTCTTATAATCATTTGTGAAAAACTTGACCATTCTTGCTAATATATGGGGAGAAATAAAAGCGGTTGGAGGGACGAGCAGATGCTCGAAATCTGAACAATTTTTTCCAAGATTTTGTTTCTGTATTTTCCTCCTTTACCCACACAACATAATGTCTTCTCATCTTGACAACCACACTGACCATCCTCCCACAAACCCTAACACACACCTGAGTGCATTTAATATGTCACTTGGAAACTTCTCTTCTTCTAGAGTTTCTGCATCTAAATCAAAAGGTACCATAAAAAATAAAAAAATAAAAAAATAAAAGGAAGAAGACAACTGATCACTATCCCATACCTTGGCGATCCAATAGATGGATCCATTCACCGTCTTCCCTACATCCGGTTCAACCTTAAAGCCTTCGTATTTTACGTTATTTACAGCAGTGTTCCACGTACCAGTCTCAATCTCAAGCATTGTATAGTTGTTGGTATGTGTAGAGTAGGACCCATGATGTTTACAACCTTATAATCATCAAGGGTAGAATCATAACCTAAACCTACACTTTCTATGTAGTCTGGTCGTGGAAGGGCCAAAATTGTCCTATGTTTCTTTGTTGAAGGGTTCCAAATTACCAGGCTAAGGCCATGAGGGGATGCATAACATACCATCACACTCTGCTGACCACTTGATAAGATGAAAACAATCTACTGGCCTCCAGGGAGCTAGTGACGTTTCTGCTGCATGAACAATGTCCCCACAGTCGAAATTTTTAGGAAGTGTTAACACCAAGAACGCCTGGGTCCGACTTATATCTCTAGAGTATGAAATGGTGGTGTTCACGAGTAGATTTTGTGTTTTGAAGATGGCTTCTAATGAATTTTGAATCATGAACCAAACCATCACATTGTTCGAATAAAGATTTGAATATATTGAAGTATGTTTCCCTTGTAAATGTGAATAACAAAATTCCCACATAGAAGAAATATGAAAAGAAAAAATGGTTTAAATATGTCAAGACTCATATAATTATTAGATTATTTGGTATCGAAACATGTAATTAGCTAATTAATGTCTCCCTACCAGACCACCAGTGGTCATTCCAATCATTGTATCTAGAAAAAAGATGAATGAATAGGGTTAAAATTATAAGAGTTATAAAATCAATTCTACATAGATAAAGTCAACTAAAGAAAAAAATTAGAATATAAAAACAAAAAAGTTCAAAAAGTGTTCTTGATTTACTATATAGTTGACTCTCAACTTTAAGAGGCTATAGCTGGGAGCTATATGCTAGATCTAAATATAGGCAAAATTTTTTAACCATTCAAGGTCAAAATTCTCAATTGAGAAGTTATGAAAAATTACAAATATACCACAAAGCCCACTGTAGAAGGCTATAGTCAACCATAGGCTTAAGATCAAAATTTTAGGTAATAGACATTTAAGTGCATTTAATGCACTCTAATGTCTCCAAATGGCTAATTTCAACTTGAAGGGCATAAATATAGTTGTTAAACACCTTGGAGAGTCTTATAGATACGTGGTAGAAGATCTATCAACAAGAGTTGAGGTTAGATTTATAAATTCTTTCTAGCGTTTGAGCTTACACTTGTAAATTAGATTTTGAAAAGATTATATCCTTTGTAATTTTTTTTTCTACCATTTTTAATTAAAAGAGCTAATAAAATCTATTATATGTCTCGTTTAAAGTATTTATTATCAAAAAGATATTATCAATGAATCATTTTTAATTTCTTTGGCTATAAGAGGTTGCAACTCTGTCAAACTCCAAATGTATGGAGCATGTGCTTACGTGGAGCTAATAATGGCCACGTGAGCCTGTTATTTAACTTCATGCTTAAATTCTTACGTCGCATAATATGAGAGCTTAAATCTCCCCTCAAAAATAATTTTAAGGACTTAAGCCCTAAAAACAATTAAGGACATGGGCTGTTTCATGAGAATTTGCCTCCTAAGTGGCAACTAGTTTTGGATTTTTTTTTTTTTAATCAATCTGAGGTGGACTCTAACAGGCAAGGGAAGAATCTCACATGTTATTTGTTTATTTCCCCCGTAAATTGAAAATACATAAAACCCAAAAATCGAATTTTTAAAATTCGAGATTGAATCATTGAAATTAAATAAATAAACAATGTGAGTGGAGATATCATTTTTAATCGGAATAAATAAGGGAGATGAGTAGTAAATTTGTTCAAAGGAATGTTCCTGCATTTATAAAGCTGTTGTTTTGTTATAGGATTAACAATATGGTAGCTAACGCGACAAGAAGATGTGCTTATCTAGTTAGTTTGTTGGAAATATCACATCAAGTAGTTAAAAT